GGCGGACAAGGACAGCTGTCTAGTCGTTCGGATGGGACGAAAAACCGAGGTCCCGTGTCCACATTGACGTGGTCGTAAAAGATCCCTTGACAGATGGAATTCGATATAAGAGTAGGCCGTAGTGCCGCTGTCCGGGCAAAATTTCACTCATCGCACAGTGTATGGCGTATGCCCGTCTTCATTAGCCCAGTTCCAAGCAGAACAGTAGGACGTTAAAACCCCATTTCATTTCTTTTCATTTCTTGAAACTAGTTGGGAAGCCCCCCGGTCTCTACCCCATACCCCGGCTCCTTCAGCTATGTCTACGAGCATGATTTGCTACCATATTATCTTAGCCCGCTGCTTAATATTGAGCGACTTGTTTATTCGACTGAATTATTCGACTGAAGTATTCGACTGAACTATTCGACTGGTTTATTCGACTGAACTTTTCGACTGAATTATTCGACTGGTTTATTCGACTGGATTATTCGACTGAACTAACTGACTGATTTTATCGACTGGACGAGGCCACATGAAAATGTCAAATACCTCATCCCCCCCCCCGCCCCACCCCATCCTCTTTCTTCGTTCATATCATATATAGGGACTCTATTCTTTTCGAGGCGGACAAGGACAGCTGTCTAGTCTTTCGGATGGGACGAAAAACCGAGGTCCCGTGTGCACATTCGCGTGGACGTAAAAGATCCCTTTGACAGATGGAATTCGATATAAGAGTAGGCCGTTGTGCCGCTGTCCGGGCAAAATTTCCCTCATAGCACAGTGTATGGCGTATGCCCGTCTTCATTAGCCCAGTTCCAAGCAGAACAGAAGGACGTTAAACCCCATTTCATTTCTTTTCATTTCTTGAAACTAGTTGGAAAGCCCCCCGGTCCCTACCCCATGCCCCGGCTCCTTCAGCTATGTCTAAGAGCATGATTTGCTACCATATCATCTTAGCCCGCTGCTTAATATTGAGCGACTTGTTTATTCGACTGAATTATTCGACTGAAGTATTCGACTGAACTATTCGACTGAAGTATTCGACTTCATTAGCCCAGTTCCAAGCAGAACAGTAGGACGTTAAAACTCCATTTCATTTCTTTTCATTTCTTGAAACTAGTTGGGAAGCCCCCCGGTCTCTACCCCATGCCCCGGCTCCTTCAGCTATGTCTAAGAGCATGATTTGCTACCATATCATCTTAGCCCACTGCCACCGCTGCTTAATATTGAGCGACTTGTTTATTCGACTGAATTATTCGACTGAAGTATTCGACTGAACTATTCGACTGGTTTATTCGACTGAACTTTTCGACTGAATTATTCGACTGGTTTATTCGACTGGATTATTCGACTGAACTAACTGACTGATTTTATCGACTGGACGAGGCCACATGAAAATGTCAAATACCTCATCACCCCCCCCCCCCCACCCCCGCCCCACCCCATCCCCTTTCTTAGTTCATATCATATATAGGGACTCTATTCTTTTCGAGGCGGACAAGGACAGCTGTCTAGTCGTTCGGATGGGACGAAAAACCGAGGTCCCGTGTGCACATTGGCGTGGACGTAAAAGATCCCTTGACAGATGGAATTCGATATAAGAGTACGCCGTAGTGCCGCTGTCCGGGCAAAATTTCCCTCATCGCACAGTGTATGGCGTATGCCCGTCTTCATTAGCCCAGTTCCAAGCAGAACAGTAGGACGTTAAAACCCCATTTCATTTCTTTTCATTTCTTGAAACTAATTGGGAAGCCCCCCGGTCTCTACCCCATGCCCCGGCTCCTTCAGCTATGTCTAAGAGCATGATTTGCTACCATATCATCTTAGCCCACTGCCACCGCTGCTTAATATTGAGCGACTTGTTTATTCGACTGAATTATTCGACTGGATTATTCGACTGAACTATTCGACTGAAGTATTCGACTGAACTATTCGACTGGTTTATTCGACTGAACTTTTCGACTGAACTATTCGACTGGTTTATTCGACTGGATTATTCGACTGAACTAACTGACTGATTTTATCGACTGGACGAGGCCACATGAAAATGTCAAATACCTCATCCCCCCCGCCCCACCCCATCCCCTTTCTTCGTTCATATCATATATAGGGACTCTATTCTTTTCGAGGCGGACAAGGACAGATGGAATACGATATAAGAGTAGGCCGTAGTGCCGCTGTCCGGGCAAAATTTCCCTCATCGCACAGTGTATGGCGTCTGCCCGTCTTCATTAGCCCAGTTCCAAGCAGAACAGAAGGACGTTAAACCCCATTTCATTTTTTTTCATTTCTTGAAACTAGTTGGGAAGCCCCCCGGTCCCTACCCCATGCCCCCGGCTCCTTCAGCTATGGCTACGAGCATGATTTGCTACTATATTATCTTAGCCCGCTGCCACCGCTGCTTAATATTGAGCGACTTGTTTATTCGACTGAATTATTCGACTGAATTATTCGACTGGTTTATTCGACTGAACTTTTCGACTGGTTTATTCGACTGGATTATTCGACTGAACTAACTGACTGGTTTTATCGACTGGACGAGGCCACATGAAAATATCAAATACCTCATCCCCCCCCACCCCCGCCCCACCCCATCCCCTTTCTTCGTTTATATCATATATAGGGACTCTATTCTTTTCGAGGCGGACAAGGACAGCTGTCTAGTCTTTCGGATGGGACGAAAAACCGAGGTCCCGTGTATACATTGGAGTGGATGTAAAAGATCCCTTTGACAGATGGAATTCGATATAAGAGTACGCCGTAGTGCCGCTGTCCGGGCAAAATTTCCCTCATCGCACAGTGTATGGCGTATGCCCGTCTTCATTAGCCCAGTTCCAAGCAGAACAGTAGGACGTTAAAACCCCATTTCATTTCTTTTCATTTCTTGAAACTAATTGGGAAGCCCCCCGGTCTCTACCCCATGCCCCGGCTCCTTCAGCTATGTCTAAGAGCATGATTTGCTACCATATCATCTTAGCCCACTGCCACCGCTGCTTAATATTGAGCGACTTGTTTATTCGACTGAATTATTCGACTGGATTATTCGACTGAACTATTCGACTGAAGTATTCGACTGAACTATTCGACTGGTTTATTCGACTGAACTTTTCGACTGAACTATTCGACTGGTTTATTCGACTGGATTATTCGACTGAACTAACTGACTGATTTTATCGACTGGACGAGGCCACATGAAAATGTCAAATACCTCATCCCCCCCCCCGCCCCACCCCATCCCCTTTCTTCGTTCATATCATATATAGGGACTCTATTCTTTTCGAGGCGCACAAGGACAGCTGTCTAGTCGTTCGGATGGGACGAAAAACCGAGGTCCCGTGTATACATTGGAGTGGACGTAAAAGATCCCTTTGACAGATGGAATTCGATATAAGAGTAGGCCGTAGTGCCGCTGTCCGGGCAAAATTTCCCTCATCGCACAGTGTATGGCGTCTGCCCGTCTTCATTAGCCCAGTTCCAAGCAGAACAGAAGGACGTTAAACCCCATTTCATTTCTTTTCATTTCTTGAAACTAGTTGGGAAGCCCCCCGGTCCCTACCCCATGCCCCCGGCTCCTTCAGCTATGGCTACGAGCATGATTTGCTACTATATTATCTTAGCCCGCTGCCACCGCTGCTTAATATTGAGCGACTTGTTTATTCGACTGAATTATTCGACTGGTTTATTCGACTGAACTTTTCGACTGGTTTATTCGACTGGATTATTCGACTGAACTAACTGACTGGTTTTATCGACTGGACGAGGCCACATGAAAATATCAAATACCTCATCCCCCCCACCCCCGCCCCACCCCATCCCCTTTCTTCGTTTATATCATATATAGGGACTCTATTCTTTTCGAGGCGGACAAGGACAGCTGTCTAGTCTTTCGGATGGGACGAAAAACCGAGGTCCCGTGTATACATTGGAGTGGATGTAAAAGATCCCTTTGACAGATGGAATTCGATATAAGAGTAGGCCGTAGTGCCGCTGTCCGGGCAAAATTTCCCTCATCGCACAGTGTATGGCGTCTGCCCGTCTTCATTAGCCCAGTTCCAAGCAGAACAGTAGGACGTTAAAACCCCATTTCATTTCTTGAAACTAGTTGGGAAGCCCCCCGGTCCCTACCCCATGCCCCCGGCTCCTTCAGCTATGGCTACGAGCATGATTTGCTACTATATTATCTTAGCCCGCTGCCACCGCTGCTTAATATTGAGCGACTTGTTTATTCGACTGGATTATTCGACTGAATTATTCGACTGAACTATTCGACTGGTTTATTCGACTGAACTTTTCGACTGAATTATTCGACTGGTTTATTCGACTGGATTATTCGACTGAACTAACTGACTGGTTTTATCGACTGGACGAGGCCACATGAAAATGTCAAATACCTCATCCCCCCCACCCCCGCCCCACCCCATCCCCTTTCTTCGTTCATATCATATATAGGGACTCTATTCTTTTCGAGGCTGACAAGAACAGCTGTCTAGTCGTTCGGATGGGACGAAAAACCGAGGTCCCGTGTCCACATTGACGTGGTCGTAAAAGATCCCTTGACAGATGGAATTCGATATAAGAGTAGGCCGTAGTGCCGCTGTCCGGGCAAAATTTCCCTCATCGCACAGTGTATGGCGTCTGCCCGTCTTCATTAGCCCAGTTCCAAGCAGAACAGTAGGACGTTAAAACCCCATTTCATTTCTTTTCATTTCTTGAAACTAGTTGGGAAGCCCCCCAGTCTCTACCACATGCCCCGGCTCCTTCAGCTATGTCTAAGAGCATGATTTGCTACCATATCATCTTAGCCCACTGCCACCGCTGCTTAATATTGAGCGACTTGTTTATTCGACTGAATTATTCGACTGAACTATTCGACTGGTTTATTCGACTGAACTTTTCGACTGAATTATTCGACTGGTTTATTCGACTGGATTATTCGACTGAACTAACTGACTGATTTTATCGACTGGACGAGGCCACATGATAATGTCAAATACCTCATCCCCATCGCCCCCCTAACCCAACATATCATATATAGGGACTCTATTCTTTTGGAGGTGGACAAGGACAGATGTCTAGTCGTTCGGATGGGACGAAAAACCGAGGTCCCGTGTACACATTGGCGTGCACTTAAAAGATGGGGGCATATGGGGATGAGGGAAAAAGTCAAGCATGACTTTATTAAGCCGCGGTGGCAATAACTAAGATAACACCTTAAAGTTTTAATTTGAACAATCAAATTTGAACATGAGGGGACGTAAAAAATAAACAAAAACAATGATAAAAGATATTGGAATTAGTGCGTTTTTTCTTTAACTTATACAGATTACAAACGATTCCAAAATTTTAATAAGCCATCGACCGGTTTATTCGACTGACTATTTGTTTTGGACTTAGGGTCGACTCAAAAATGCAGTATTTTAATGACATGCAGAAATAGTCACGTGATCAAATTTATTTCCGGTAATATGCATGGAGAAAATCTCGAGTAGAAAATCTGAAGTTGAAAGTCGAATGTCAAAAGTTGATTATTGAAAGTAGAAGTTCTGCTGTGGAAAGTAAAATTTTAACGACTTAAAGTTGAAAAAGTGGACCTATTAGGTTGAAAGAATTTTCTCTTTTGCTTTTTATTTTCTACTTTCTACTGCAGATCGCATTTTGAACCTGATACCCCGCCATACCTTTGGGGCATGGGAATACTTTTTTAAACTAAAGGGTGTGCACTTTCTAAAACACCCTTTACTGTTCCCTTTTGATATACTTTCCTATCGTTTATTCCCGTTCATATACTGTAATATACCCAAAATACAGGGGAGGGGGGCGGATTTATGACACCCCCAATTAATTCGGTTCTCTAGTGCATACACTCCAGATCCAATTTATTTATAATTCCTTGTTTGATTATTGAAACTATAAAACATACCGTTAGAGATTTAGCATGCGGTTTCGTTTAAGGGGTTTTAAAAAGTGACAAAATAGCTAAATATATAGATGATTATATTTTATATCTTAAAAAACAACAAAACATTACAAACCTACGATGAGTGAGATTTAAGGACAATGTGTCATGTATCAAAATAAGTTGCCTGTCAGTCGAAATCAGTAAACATTATAATTTTTTTAAAAGTACATAATTACAATCTATTATTAGATTGTGCTATCACAGCTAGAATACACCCGTATAAGGTTTTTATGGAGTCTGAAAAGAAAACAAAAAAGTGAAATTATCCTAAAATCTATATTGCGCCAGCCAAAGAAATTAAACCTTCCACAACCATTAATGAATTAATCGATTTATTATTTATGTACTCATTCATAAAAAGATTGTCCACGTTAAGGTTTATTTTTAAAGATAAATTATGCTAGATTTAGAAAAGCGCTGGTAATTCTTGCTATAATAGTTTAACAATAAATACTTGAAATTGAATATATTGCAATTGTCAGTCAAATTTCTGAAGAATTTTGAAGTTTTGAAAAACTGGTTGATTTTGACTGTTATATTCTCAATTGTCAAGTACCATTGCCAAAATAATAAACGAGATCTCGATTTTCAGTCATTCAATGCCGGCCATATTAGCGTTTAACACAGGACATTGTATAACCTACGCAATATCTAAGCCACCAGATGGATTGATGGACGAGTTGATTATGTGCTTGGACATGTGAAAAACATGTTTAAATAAATTTTTTTTAACATTTATGATCAGAAAAAAAACCGAAGAGGCAAGTTTAGCTCTTTCATAAGGCCTCTTTAACGGCTTTACAATTCATTCACTATATACATATATTTAGCCAAGTGTAGGATCTAAACGCTTTATATATTTCCAAGAAATCTGAAAAGTATAAAAAAAATCCCCTGTCTTATACCTGATATCGAATTGTTTAGTATGAATTGTTCGGTTTTCACCATCAAAATGAATCTTATGTTCTAAAGCTATATCGCATTTATCCAGTTCTCCAATATTTGTTAGTTTTATGCGAACAGCGTCTACCATTACAAAATCACAAAAATCAAACTCCATCTGAATAATATCATAAAATGTGATCGATACCAATATAATGATGTGAATATGATATTAATAGCCAAAACAAATTATGGCAAAATCATAGAATAAGATCATTAACCCCAAGATAAAGGAACCGCTACTTTCGATGATGGAGATAAATGAATATGATATCCATATGCTTACCATCTTAACTTGGTAAACGGAACCACGGTGACTCACTGAGCAGGAAGTGCCGGTGTCGGCGGATGCCGAGGAATTTCCCCGGATATTTCCAACTCGGTTTCCCCTTGTCAGTGGTACAGGGCGGAGGATCTTGCAAAAAATGTGTCTAGTCGTTCGGATGATATGGAAATCGAGCTCCCTTATACACGTTGGTGTACACGTAAAAGAACCCTTGCTAATTGTATTGAAATAAGAGTTGGCTGTTGGCCAGGATACAATTTTCCCCATGACACATTTCATGGCGTATGCCACGCCGGCATAGACCCAGTCTGTACAGAACAGTGAGACATTAAACTCCATTTCATTTCATTTAATTTGGTATACGCACTTTGTACATACGCAGTGTATGAGGTTTTCATATATAAATAAATGTTGGATTAAGATATATTATCTCGACCAGGTCATATTCCACAGCCACTTTTATTTGAATTAATACTTACAAATTCTACTTGAAAATCTTTCATTGCCATCAGATATTGGAAATATGTCCACAGACTTGTATGTTTTTCTAGTTGGAGTGTAAAGCCACTCGAGGAAAGATCAAAATCGAAAGATTCATTCACACATCTAAAAACACCAGGATATACATTAAATCCCATAATCTCTGGTTCTATCTTCTTCCATTCTATAATAAAAAACGTTTTGGGCGATGATAATGAGCAGGTCTTTTAGGGAGTTATATGCTATATTTCCTGGGTTTAGATTTTGGACGGGGAGCTGCATCCCACGCGCTACCCGTCTAGTTTGTTGTTCTTCTTAGGGGCGACGCTCTTCGAAATTTAAAAAAAAAATAAATACAACACTGACCTCACCAATTCAAGAAGGTCGACGTAAAACTTTTACATGACGCCGCTATTCCAAGATGGCGCCGTTGACGTCATGCTCCGCCTTTTACATTCTCTTCGTACAAGTTAAAGATGCATTATACAAGAGCTAAATATGCCTATTGCAGGTCTTTATTGTGACTTCAAATGTAATATATATTATTATTTTGACATTTATTCACATGGCATTCCTATAATCAACTCTCTAGATCATCGGATGGCCGTGATTCAAATGGATTTAAACACCCACGAGATTTAAAACCTTTACGATAAAATGGATAACTAGCGTGTCAAGTTACTACGACAATGAGTAATTCTACGCTGGTTTTTTTTTTAAAACCTTCCAACACTTATAACTTTGCTCAGAATATATCCATTTTTCATTATCTACTTTTGAACTATTATAGCAAGAACGGTCAGCTCTATATCTAAATCTTACATAATGCATCTGTAACAGATTATATTCAGGGATCAAGCATTATCTATTACGAAATCTACCTGCCTGAATTAAGATCTGTTTCCTATGCATCTTTAACAGATTATATTCAGGGATCAGGTTATTCTGGAAGTATTCAAGTAATGCTATCTAATACAAATTCTACCTGCCTGAATTAAGATCTGTTTCTTTGAGATCTGTACCAGATCTGAAAATATGCCCATATTGTTTCATATTGATAATATACACGTTAAAAATATAAGTAGGTTTGTAGATCACGGTAATTAATGTATAGGAATAATAATGGTACATTTGGTTGGTTTAGTGAAGCTTGTGATTATACATACTGAGAATAGAAGACTAGGGTTATTAATAAATTCCTGAATACATCATGAAATATGGAATGATAAACTGAGTTGTGTTGAAACGCTTTTGCAAGAATGCAAATAGAAATGACCCTTTACTTGGAAATACAATGGGTAATTGTGCAGTTCGTGTTTGTTTCATTATAATTTGATATTAGCTTCAGATTTCTTCATTATGATGCTGTAAATTTAGAATCGCCAAACTTAAATATAAATGAATAATGCAACATCACGAGACGAGCGTGTAAATAACTTTAGATGGTATTCTGGGTATTGATTGTGCGCCTATGCTTATTGGTCTTTATTTATATTCGTAATACGAATTTATAGAACGACTCATTCAAAAAATTAACAGAATAAAACTGCATTTCCTTTAGTACGGATCCGGTCCGGCTCCGGTCCGGTTGCGGATACGGAAAAAAACACTTTCATAGAATTTTAGTAAGAGTGTTTCCTTATGTGTGGGTGCGGATACGGTTCTGTATGCGGCGTCCGGTACGGTTTTTCGAAACGGACCATGTATCGTTCGGTACGGAAACGCATGCGGAACCGTGTCCGTAACCGCACATAAGGAAACACAGTTTGGATAGCCCGCACGGGAAAAAGCTAAAAATAGGTTGGGAAATTCGTCCTTTCTTGGACACGTGTTCGTGGAATCAGAAAAAGAAAAGATGAAAATCGAAAGAAAGGACACAGAGAAACTGATTGAACTTGTACGTGGCCATCGATGCCTGTATGATGCAAGCGGTGCAGAATATAAAGATGCACAACTGGTGCACAATGTCTGGGAATCGATTTCCCAGGCTATGGGATATGATTCCATAAAAGGTGAGTGGCCAAACTATCGATGTATAGTGACTGATAAGCAGATTGTATTCTATCATCACATCAATCAACTTTATAGCACATATTTCATTGCTGTGCCATCGCCAGTTTTGCTATATAGTTTACATTTAAGCATGCCCTTAATTTTGAAAAAACCTTGTTCCAAATATAATTTTAACACAGAGATCATTGCTACGATAGCCAGGTAATACAGGATTCCTGAATCGGAAGTGCCGAACGCCAAAGGAAAACACGAGTCATCCCTCTATATAACTGACTGAAGTGACAAGAGACACATACATGGGCAAATTCCGCTTGAATGACCGCATATAAGGATACACAACCTGCCATGTGCAATGTCTACTCCCGGACCGGAGCTGGACCGGAGTTGGACCAGATCCGTACTAAAGGAAATGCAGCTTAAGTCTTTCAATATCGCGCTTAGGTGTACCGTTACATATGGTATTGTGTTGCTTGACAATGTAGATTGGAGCACAAATTATATGAAATTGCCTTGGATCTGTTCTGTCAAAGCATAATGGATATATTTTTACAAAAGTTATTGCTATACTGAGGGAACCGTTCCGACTCAAACTCATAATTGCGAAAATATCAGAAAGTCTACCAAATAATTTTCTAGGTCTCCCCAATACTGAATTACAAAAAAAAATTATTTGTCAATCATATGTTTAGAATAAAAAGCTTTATAGTGATATAATAATGAGTCAGAGTATTACATTTTGTTGTTACTATAACACCAATTAATACGCGTCTCGGTGGCTCGTGATTTCAGGATAGGCCGAATTGCAATGCCCCTCCCCCCGCTTTGATTTGAAAACATATTTATCTCCTACTATAGTCATTGTTTAGGCATTCTAATTAGTCTGATATTAAGGGCATTTTCCCGTTCCGCATCTTAGTTGGGATTTTCCCCCTGAACCCTCAAATCTTATATTATCAAGCTTTCAGATATCTACTAACATGCTTTATCTGTTTATTTTGTTCTATTTTTTGTGTGTGTGCTTTTGTTTGTTTACCTGTATGGAGCTCTTCCATGAGGTTTTGTATCTTCAGCAGGGTGATACTCAATCTCTGCTTTAAAAAGTCTTTGTTTAGAAAATAACGATTTTATTAAGCCAACTGGAAATGAAAACAATGTTAGGTTTCATCTATTATGTTAAATAGAATCAAATAGGGTTTAACGCCGTACTTAACTGCAGGAAACGGACTAACCAAGAGTAAAGAGTAACACAGGAAGGACAATTTCTACTCCTTTCTTTGCAATATTATACTTAAAGCTGCAATATAATTTATCGTCAATAATCAGCCTTAAAGTTACAATTTCATATTTTCTAAAAAAAAGTCAAAACATAATTATTTCTATGTCTTTTGCTCAATAGGTTGTCAACTCACTATTATACGATCATAGGTTATCTTTCTCACACTTAAAAATCTTCACACCGGAAATAGTAACACAATTACCCCCCAATTACCTTCCTTGTTTTCCTATTCCCCACCATGGAATAGCTATCTTCAAACGTTTGAATTTGAAGTTGAAAATGATATTTTTGCCAATTTCTCAACTGGCAATATTGAATTATAGGATTAATAGGATTATTCTTTAACAAGGTAGGACTGTTTATAGATACCATCTATTTTAGGGCTTTATTTTAATACATTTTAAAAATATAACTTAAACATATGAAATTGTAACTTTAAATCATACTATTGGTTGAATATCAATTAAATATTTCTAGCATGTTAAGCTTCAGTACCTATATTGTGTTTGAATAATGATAATTGGTCATGTCATTATACATACATACATTGTGTTTGCGAAATGTGACCGTTTGAAAGATACATAAATGATAATGTAGTTCCTTTCGATATTGGTACGTATCGGATCATAACTTCATGGATTATGGCCCCTGATTGTACGCCAAATCACATTTTAGGTTGTGGACACACTAGAGGTTACAATTTTTATCCATTGTAAAAATCGTTCAAATTTATTACTGTTACACCATAATAGCAGTTGAGTTCGAATTTCGTGAAAATAGGAACGAAACTGCCCGATTAATGGCCGCTCCATAGTGTAAAAGTATGTTATACCAAGGTTGTGAACACTCTAGACGTCACAATTTTCATTTGATTTTGATGAAACTGAAAATACTGTACCTTTTGATATTCGCGCATATCGGACCGTCAAATCGTGGGTTATTTTTATCCGATTTAAGAAAAAAACTTTAATGATATCACTGTTACACCTGAATGATGGTTGAGGTCGAATTTCGTGAAAATTTGACCGAAACTGCGGGACAAAATGGCCGCTCCACGTAACAAAACGGTGTAAAAGTATGTAATACTAAGGTTGTGGGCCCTCTAGCGGTAGCAATTTTATCCGATTTGGATGAAACTTAAAATATATGTTCATATCACAAAGATCTAGATTAATTACGATAGTTGTGCGTTACCGTTCAGTGGAACATGGAACCTGATTGTACGAAAAAATCACTTTTTTAGTTTACCTAGTTCTCTGTCCATCTCTTGCAAAATATATGCGTGGCAACCGCTTGTTACTGATTAGTAACCTTCGATTTGTATTTTTGTTTACGTTTATCCTTATTTCTTGATTTTAAAGAATGACATTTGTTTGATCTGTGGTTGAAAACAATCATGAATATACACACAATTGTCTCAAAGAAGCTCATACAATGTCGAGCACATACCTGGATGTCGCAAACTACCTAGCCACCTCATATTGTCTGTTTTAGATGTCAGATCTAAGAAGTAGCCATATCCTATTATAACAGATGCGAACGAAACTAGACGATCATTTTCATATATAGATACTATGTTTGTTGGTCTTGTTGCACCTATAATAAATGTTTGAATGATTTATTACCTCTCGTTTCATTAATACAGTGCTGTTAATATATATATTCTTTTAACATGAAAATGTTATTGAAAAACCCTTACATAAACCGATTCTAGAACCTTTAAACAAGATTTGTATCCCATGTTGTCCGTGACGCTTATGTTGATGGATGATATCTGTGGTGTTAATGTTGATATCATTTATATTATGAACGGACCATAGTTTATGTAATTACATTTTGTTTTCACAGAATTGTTTGTAATTAATCAATGAAATGTATTCGGTGCACTGTTCGTTCCAAATGACATCAAAGTTAATATTTCTGTATAAAAGTCATCCGAGTAAATATTTATAACTATCATTAAACAAGAACAACATATTTGATTTATGAAAATATTAACATACTCATAAACTAAATTAGTTACTACCTCGTATAATGTGTAGCACAGAAGTGACTATGTCTTTAGTCTTGTAACACCCACCAGCTAAACCATTTCCAGTTCCTAAAAGGTTGATAAAAAAAGTATGTTTTGTGGTCTTTTATAATATAGTTACATGTCTATAAATGGTTTATAAAGATAAGATGGCTGTAAAGAATAATTCGTCTAATAGCGTTTGTCGTTAACGGCATCTTAACAATATGATTTGAAATATACCTGTAGGAATCATACCAATAGGTATATTTAAAGAATGAAGTTCAGTTTCAGGATTATTCAAACAAACTCCTTCTGCCTTTTGTATCCTGCGTAGTAAACTGTGCATCAGTTCTTGTAATGTTCCATCACCCCCCATTATCACTATCCTGAAAAGGGGAGAAACAAAACGGAGCATTTGAGTTTTATTTGAAACAATATAAATGTTTTCTATATACGAAGGTAGTGTGATATAATATAAGTACTATCCACAGCAACCATTAACTTATAATGTGAAATGCTGTTTTAACAATATGAAACTATCATAAGCTCACCCATCATACAGATTGAAATCCGTCTTTTTACCCATTTCTTCCACATGCTTTGGATAATCTGAAACTAATGTTAGAAGTATTGAATAGTACTTCAAGAAATTGTGTTCCATTATATAAATGTAAGTACACAAAATCTTATTTTATTGTACTCTATAAATATTCTGATTACATTCATTATAAAAAGTATATATTTGTACATTAAATATATATATACTATTCAAAAAAAGTAGGGGATATTTGATTTTGGGGGCATAATACTAAAATATGCAAATGACTACGAAAAAAGTCACTATAGAACCTAACAGAAGAAACATTTCCAGTTACATGTGACGCCCAAACGCACCAATAGCTACCGCATGGAATGCAGGTGATGCTTGGGATCATCATGGGGGTCCAACCCAAGATTTGCACGACTCTGACTTTGAATGTTACAGTCATTGTGGCATTGAATTCCAGGGTGGAAACATCAGTTTAATTGTTTTAGTGACCAGAAAACAAATTTTGATATGCGTCGGCTTACCCAAAATGAAAGGTTACGTGCCCTTGGCATGCTACAGATCGGCACAACACAGGCGGTTGTGGCGCGGACGATGAATGTTTCTCAGTCTGTCATAAGCAGGCTATGGTCCAGATACCGTGATACACAATCTGTACAGGACAGACCACGCTCAGGTCGACCAAGGGCGACAACTCAAGCCCAGGATCGATTTATCGGTACCTTGGCCTTGAGAAATCGTGTCATCACAGCAAATCAGATCAGCGCTCGTCTTCAAACAGACACTGGTGTGAGAGTGAGTGGCCAGACGATTCGGAATCGACTGCATAGGGGTCACCTTCGCGCCCGACGTCCTCGCGTGATCCCTTGTTTGAGAGATCATCACATTCAGGCAAGACGTCGTTGGTGTAGGGATCGTCAACACTGGGATAATCGACGCTGGAGCAATGTGATGTTTTCAGATGAGTCAAGGTTCACTGTTGATTTTTTGGACAGACGTAGGAGGGTGTGGCGTCGTCGAAACGAGCGCTTCCAAGACGTTAACGTCATCAGACATGATCGATTTGGGGGTGGTTCTGTTATGGTGTGGGGAGGCATCACTGTTGCTGGAAGAACGGCTTTACATGTTGTTGCAGGGCGTGTTACAGGCCAGTACTACCGGGACAACATCTTGGCAGTCTATGTTGTGCCGTTCGCACGACGTCATGGCCGCCGTTTCATCTTCCAGGATGACAACGCAAGATGTCACAGGGCCAGGATCGTTACAGGTTACCTCCAACAACAGAACATCACCACATTACCTTGGCCAGCACTGAGTCCCGACCTCTCCCCCATCGAGCATGTCTGGGACATGCTTGGACAGAGGTTACGTCAACGTCAACAACGTCCTGCCAATGTCCAAGAACTTGCTGCTGCGTTGCAACAGGAATGGGACAATCTGGACCAAAATGACCTTAGACGTCTCATTAGGAGTATGCCACGTCGGATCAATGCTTGTTTGGCAAACAGAGGAGGATTTACCCGTTACTGACTTGGTTGTGACCCCGGGTATCATTTTACCCTTATAATGGTCAGTCTGTGCCTTACTTAGTCTAACGATCATTTGGAATAAATCGATGAATGTGAACTTCATTTCATTTTGTCATTTGTTTCTTCGTCAGTTTCATTAGGTGACTTTAATAACACTTAAAAATCAAATATCCCCTACTTTTTTTGAATAGTATATTTGACAGATTTAATAATTTAGTATTTACCCATTACGGTTGTTTCTATAGCAGCTAGATTGAACAGGGGTTTAACAACATCATGGTATATTTGTTCAGCATTTCCACATCCACCAATAGGATTAATAATAACCAATAAATTACCAGCTTTCCCTGAAAATTTACAGAATAAACAAAACTTGTTTCCGATGTCACGATCGCTGAAGATAAATGGATGTATCTGGAGGGCATGCTAATGGCATGTGACAATAGTAGTACTTTAAAATTCCTTCTGTACATATTCATCAAAGAGACTGTAATTTTTTGCGATTATCTTACCACAGATCCGATAAACCAATTACCTCGAAATTGTCGTCTGTTAAGTAGCCTCGACCACCGCAATTCTAAACCACAATATAAATAAACATACACGGGGAAAGGGGGAAACGAAAACGATGGTACATTATTAATAAATCGCACGACAATAGTGGCTCGGATCCAGCTGCATCTGTGGTGTAGCCTCTCTTAGAAATGGTGTTCGCTCTCTACTTTATAATCTTTTAATGACATTAAGCGATTGAACATAATGTAACACAGCACAGTTCTATGGATAACAAGATTTCGCTGTTCGTTATCAAGCATACATGTAAATTATACAAACAAAGAAAAATTAGAAAGCGTTATGTATGTTGGGTGGTAATTGTCCAAGAACCACTTTACCGGACCCCCAGTGGAGTTTGTTCAATGGGCTCACCCATAGGGTCCATGCAAGTGACCATCGGTGCTACGAGCCCATTAGGAGCTCGGGAGGGCCATTGACAGCCTATGAGCAAATTGGGGGCTCGGTTCCGGTCCGGCGAGCCCTAGTGAGAGTTGGGCGCACAAATGAGTCAGTACAAGCGGGATCCGGGAACCTAATGGAGTCCAATGGGGTCCTTAATTTTTCAGTATTTCGGTATTTAAAGTTTTTTGGTAATTAGTTTTGTTTTTTCGATAATTAGTTTTGTTTTTTCAATTAGTAATATTTGGTATGTATGGGTTTACGGACATTTTCGGTAATTAGTATCTCATATTTTTTTCAAAATTTTTCGGAATTTAGTACATCCATTATATACTGCTCATAATACATCCCGTTACCAGTACCTGAATTAAAGTGACATGACATCTTTTATTTGTGTATCAAAATGAAATTCAGTGTGAAATACATTCTAAATTCATGTGTGTAGATTAAAGTTATATGAAGTCAGTTGTTTCATTAAAACGAGAAATAACTAGAGTGAAATTTGAAACAAATTATATAGATCCGATTTAACCTAATCGGATCCACGGCTTTAACTGTAATGGATATACTTAAAATAATGATATATTAAAAAAATGGCTAATTCATGGAAGACAGTTCAAACATCATACTATATAGATCTTCTTTTCACTCTTCGGCTTTCTATGTTTCTGCTTTTAACAGAACTGAATATGGCCTTACCTTGTTTACATCTATCTGTTATCTTTTTAATGAGATCCGCGCAGTTCCCCTTACAACTGAAGATCTTATTAGAGCGCAACAGTATATGATTTTGATCATTGGTCTTTGGTTTTTGAATAAAATGCAAACTGAAAGTTGAGTGCTTTTCAACTTCCACATCTGTTTCTGATTCCTTTTTTACTCCGATGATATTTATATAGGGAATTGAAACTGAAAATGGAAAAGTATATTGTTCTGTGTTTATTGTTAACTAAAATAAAAGGTCCGCCCATCATTGTATTATCCACAGAACCATATCAACGAAATAACAATGTTATTGTATGATTTCTGACATTTAAAAATTATCCCGATCATTGTGCTAATGGTTTCCAAATTAACAGGACACGAAATTTAAAAGTAGTTTGATTGATTTATTGTAGTATAAAGAAGATGTACTTAAATGTTCAGCAATATGTAATTGCATTAATCACTTTAACATATTAAGACCTACATATATAATTCATTCTGTTTCTGTCTGTGAGTTGAATAGGCGTTGTATTAGTTGTAAAGTAAAGCTGTGTTCAAAATTTAATACCGTTTAATTATTTTGCAATATTATATTCAATATGTGATCAATTTGATATTCAAATATACTATGTATATGAATTCAACGTTGTGCCTTTATTTAATTGTATCATTATGTACCAGTCACCAAAATACAACCACTGCTTTGTCAAAATTGATCAATAGCAATGACCTTAATTTACAGCTGTATGTAGAATGTAGATTGATTGAATGCATAATGCATTTAATATATACGATTACGGTATTTCAAATTTATCTATTAAATACAATGTGTGGCTAATTTTAGAATGTATGGCTAATTTAGGCATAGTTTATCAAGTAATATTATCATGGGGGGGCGTTGAAGTTATCGGGGTCAAATTATTATCTAGATGATTTTGAGTATCCAGTAGTGTTCGGGTGTCCTATTCAATCTATCATGAAGAGATCAATCTTTCGTAATACGCCAAAATAATCAACAGTGATAAAATAAATAACGAAAAGTATACCCAATCGTCTCCTTGATTTTAACTTTTACCAGTATATTTGATAGAAAAAGATGCTGGGCGGATGAGAAGAGAGACAATAGACTGGCTTTGGATAAATTACATGGTTGATTATTTAGACGGAACATATAAATAAAACGAAATTCAATGTATTAATAATCTTAGTAAGGGTTGTATACAGGGAACCATATATATCTAGTAAATAAAACCCAAACCTTGTATTTTGTCAACAATCCAATTAACACCTTGATCATTTAACCATAACTTGACTGGTTTAGATTCACTAACAAAATGGCCTTCCTCTTGCATGGTCTATTTGATCCAAGTGCTTTAGTATGTAGAATTAAAATATAGACCTAAACTACTATCTCCGCTTGAATGCAGTCTATTATAACACCTCAATAACATTCAAGATCGCTTGTTCATAAAACATTCCGCGAAACAACAATGTAATAAGTAATGAAATCGAAAGTAGACGTGCATGAAGACATTTCCAGGTACATTGCTCGCAGAAATGACGTGTGTAATTATAAGAATGATCAATTTATAGACATTGGAAAACACAAAAATGCAACTGTCTGGTCTATTAAGTGTACATCGATGTATACACGGCTGTACCCGACAATAAAAATCCCGGTAGGCTCTCGTAACAGAAAGTGCTCTTAGTACTTCTACTATTTTCTATATTCGAAACAGTTGCATCACATACCCCAAGCAGTGACATATTTCAAATTTGTTGGGCGCAACTAATGTAGTTTTACAAAAGCGCAATTTGATTTGTAAAGCCAGGTGTTTAATGAATGATGCGTAATCTTTCCGATGCGAATCCTGGGTAATTCGGGAGTTTACTACCGTACATAAGCGCACTATGGCAGCATGGGGTGGACGTTAAGGAATTGGTTGAATTTTCTCAATCCCGCGAAAGAGATCAGTAGAGTAAACACGAGAATTTCGGGCCACAGTGTATGCGCCAAATGATTATATAGCGATTAACCACATATTCCTGGATTAATCATAGCAGTTGAAACGTTTCATCGCGGCTCGCAATATGCCGCACCGACATACAAACTACACTGGAGATTTGTCTCCTGGTGTTGAAGGAATTAACACATATGACCTAAACAAATCGAAAGTAAAATATTTGTTCTAAACTGTTCACTTTTGAGAAATATATGGTTTGATTTCCAAGTATTCGTCATCCGAGAATAAAATAACCATTTCGTCTTTTACGAAGGGCTGCCAGTCCCTGTAAAACAGCAGGGCAAGGACAAAGATTTTAATTAAGTTTACAAAGTTCCATAAAGTCACACACCCGATTAGAATTATTTCAAATACATATAAAAACGATATTTTGATTTAACCAATTTTATTCAATTACATCATAAACACAAACATTGCAACTGAGTTTACTAGTTGTACGATGATGAAACCCTTTAAGCATACATAAGTTATATGAGTGGTGTACAACAAACACGAATTCTCCATTGTTCCACACTGGAAATAATATACAATAACACCTTGTGAATAAAGCTACCTATACAACACATGCTAATTGAGTTTGACGAAGATGGTAGTGAATAAGCAAAAACACGAGTTTTTCATTTCCAGTTTGTGGTTTACTATTTAATCTAAATCACAAACTAAAAAAAAACCATATACTGTTATCAGGTTCTAACATTTCTGTGAAAATGACGTACTGAAATATAAAATTTATTTATAGCCTGTACATTTATATTTGAATAGTAAAAATCCAAAGGATCATCAATTGATATTTTCTTGGAATGCCCCAAGGGGAACAACTCCCTTTTACATGCATCATTATGAATGCAGACCAGCAAAATATTTCACGTTGATTTTAAGATTATTTTCCCACCCCAAATGTTTTTCCAAATCTGCGTGTTTCGGCCTTCTTCATATCATGATCCTTTTTCATAAAATGAATACGATGCTAAGCCGTCATAATATTTTGGGCTAAACTATTTTCGTCGATTTATGTGGAAGTATCATGATATTATTTTGATTTAAATTACAGATATATAATGAGCGATTCTTAAATAATGTACAGAAAATATAATCGTGATGACTGACATATAATTAAATGTTATTTTGTACATAGTATCAACACTATTGTGGTTAATGAAAATATGTTTATTGGGTGAATGAACATAACGAAAATGCAGGCTATATTTTAATGTGTACGGAAAAATAAAACAAGCGTTTATAAAGAAAACTCAAACAAATGGAAATGAAGTGGGGCTTCTCTTTAGATAAAAGGTAAATGAATATCAAGAGGAAACTGGACCTTTTTCTGGCTCCGGATCACGATACCGTTGTCTGAAAAAGAGAACATAATTTACTGTTTTGGGTGATCTAAATCACAGACTAAAGTTTCTTTTTGTAAAATAACAGTTGCCAATCTCTTATAATTTTAACAAATAAATGCATGTCAAATAAGATAAAATATTTGGTATCTCCCATCGGACGATTTCCAATTTATCTCGGGGGCGACAACAATAGGGAATCGAAAATCGTGAAACCACTTTCAAATCCAGATTCATCGCCTCTACTGTGTATCAAAAATATAACCAGTTGATACCAAACTGGTAGTGGGAATCAGTCGTTTCCATTAATAAAACCCTGCTGATATTCCTAAAAACAAGAGAATTCTTTCAAAAACGCCATTAGCCATTTCTTTAAACGTGTACCGGTATCCATAAAATTGTGCCTTTCATTACAAAAAATGCTGGTTGGCTATACTATGACATATTGACTAATAACATCATTCTTCATTAGACCAGTCGGTGCAGAACAATAGGAAGTCAACCCACATTTCATTTAATTTATAATAACTTATCAGAGTTATTGCTTACCTATCGAGGGTATTGTATCATAAAGGTCGTGACCTCTAAAGGATCGAAGATGAATACTGATTGGTGTAGTTATTTTTTCTCCAGTTGACAATTCCCAGAAACCATCAGCCGTATGTTTCATTTTCACCCATGAATTTCCTTGAAAAGCTCGAACTTCAGTTGGCGGAATTCTAATTATTTTAAATATGTAAATAAAATACGTAATAGATGCTAAAGAATAACCAAATACAAAGAAATCAATCTAGCGAGTACAATGTTGATAACAACAGTCTTTCGGGAAAACATGCATATTCGAATAATCGATAGCTCAATAGCGTGGTATGCTCAATTTCGAAAAACGAAATATGGTGATAACATCACAACATACAAATGATTTATTAAATGTATAGTAAACGTTAAAGTTTCAGAAGTATAGCCTATTTAATGCGTTTTAACTGCGTTAGCTTTCGATTCTGACACATATTCTACCAATTTGTTTGTAAACTGTAAGCCATATTTTAAGAAATGAAGATTATCTGCCAAATTATGACTTCCTGCTCACATTTCTGAAGCAAGTGTTAGAGCATTATCAGCTTAAGAACCATTGTTAAGCGATGTTTCCGCTCAATTATCGTCTCCTAGGTTCACTAGAAATAGGTTCAACACAAACACGTGCCGTTGCATCAATGTCTCTCGGATTAAAATGAATAATACATTTCCGAAAACTGTAATCAGTGCTCGTTTGAGAGATGTATGTAGGTTTAGTACGAAATGAGATTGTATCGACTATTGTGATAAGTCTAACAGTGAAACATACAATGCAAATAATGCTCGTTGCCATTACTCCCTGCTTAAATTGTAATCTAAAGACTTAATTTTGAAAACATTAAATGATATGTTCTTTATGCTGTATACAAAAAAAAACATTACTTGGAAAGATTTTAAATTAATTACTCACCTTGCATTTCGTACCTGTAGTTTTATATACCATTCATTTGAACCTTGTAATAGATATTCTATATTACTATTTCCCACAGGACATTGCACAGCCTGCATTAAAATCTTCCATCTACCATCTCCATTCTCGGCGAAATCCAAATCTCCTGAAATAAACGCGAAAACAAAACAATTAAATTCAGCAAAAATGGAGTATAGACAGTACGAATCCTTATTTACACTTGCAGGCGGGTTTGTAAGTTTTAAAAGCTTGTGTTATTATAAATATTCCATGTGAGCTTGTCGAATGAGAAATGGTATGTGTACTAGAAAGAATTCGCACACTTTGCCTGGTTGTTAAAATACCAATATTTGTTTGTCTTCAGAACGATACCATCATTTATAGACCAAAAAGGGCCAGCAACCCAAGAAAACCCTGAGACAACACGTGTTATGTTCCTATCGATACCAATCACATAAACCAATGCCTTAAATAAACAGATGAATGTAAAATGTCACAATGATGTGATTTAAAAGATCAGTCTTAATCTTCAAACAGTTACCTTGAAGACATCCTGGACATAGATCCTTCACAAACACATTGAAATCACCAACAATAGGATTTAACCCAGCCCCTTTTCCTTCGGCGTGCACCTACATTAAAACAAAATAAACCTATGAGAGGGGTCCCGTAAGATTATAATATAATCATTTGTGGGATGAAAATAATTGGAATTTTAATTACACAGGTTATGGCATAAAAGAAAAACTTACCCGAAAGCACATTCCACAAGCAACAGAATCCAAGAATTGTGCTTTATTTAATGCTACAAGATAACCAATATGTGGGCTCATGGCTACTGGTGGTAAAGACGGTGGATCATATTGACATGTTCCGTTAGTTGTTTTAGTGTAATATGTTCCCTGAAACAAAGGTAAATCAAAAAATGTATGCAGAAAATTATATCAAAATAAACAGTTTCGGGTAATATGACAATGAAAAATAACAATGAAAAATAAGTAATCGCGACGAGTAAATTCTGTGTTTTTATGCACAGTTGTATTTAAGCACAATTAGCACGGAATGTTAACGAAAAAAAGTGCAGCAAACAGTTGCTAGCTATGTTAATATTGTGAACTTCTCAAATTGATCCAGTTGACGTGGTACAAGGGTTAATCAGCGAACTTGATGTATGAGATGTGTTGTTGACGTTTGGGAAAGTAGGACGAGGGGAAATGTGTAGGGAGTGAAGTGCTGTAAAGGGATAGTTAGATGTATTATGAATGGTTAGAGTGGCTGTGGTGTTACGGTGAAATACTATGCCGCCACCGTAACACCACAGCTTTATGATTTGTTAGACAGGAGTGATGTAATGGGTGTCAACAACTGGGTATGCTGGTACCGTCGCAACGTAGCCGTGAAATATATATTGTGGGGGGGAAGGGCGGAAACGGAAAAATATACAATGTTGACAGTATGTGCCAGGCATGAGGCTGCGCAGACCGAGCGGCAGCTCGATAGGGAGTGTGTGGGAGGGTCACCCTCATAAAAATTTTTTTTTTTAAATTTCAGTTTTCTGTAA